CCCCATTTTATTAATTCTAATTCTGGACAACTTGTCCAACCCCGGCTGATTCCTACCCTCCCCCACCCCCCGTTTATTCGATACCTTTGAGTATGAGCAATGATAGTACATAACTATCTTTGGTATGAGAGGCCTGATTGAACATGAACCTACTAGGCCCTCCGTTATTCATTTCTAACAATAACCCGTTACAAAATATAATAAATAATAATACTGTTTTGTATGCTTCGCCATTTGTAACACCCAATTGAACTCGACTACATATTATTGTTTTTGATTCAGCACTTTATTGCAGCATGCTATAGCTCAAAATGTATTCTATAGCGTTCATTTATAATGTTAATGTTTCCTGTTGCATCCTGACATGTTCTTTTTAAAATAGTTTTGCAAAGACTTTTAAATGTGTATTTGCAACAAAAAGCTACTAGATCTATATCGATACCATATATTATGAATCGGAAACGATCTTCAGGAAGTAGAAATCAAAAACATAACATCAACAGAGACACCCTCTCTCTCTCTGCGGGGACTCTCATTTTCAGCCTTCTCAGCTGTGCAATGGCATGAAAAGGGTCCTCTACCGACTGATGAACCCAAGAATAGGCCTGTTCTTTATTTAAAGAAATATATGCTAAATACTGATTTGTCCCACGTCTTGATCTAGATATCTAGATTATCTAGATCCTAGCTCTAGAATCTAGGTTTTCAGCTTGGTTGGACCTTTGGTTTGAGGCAGGTCCCTTCCAAAACAGGCGATTTACTCGACCACTGCAGCTTTCTGATTTGAGGACAAATTATCGAGAAAAATGGCACCAAGGAATGCACCTCCCCTTGTCACTGGTGTATCCCCGAAAGAAGGACCTCCAGGAACAAGAATAACTATAAGAGGAGAAAATTTTGGAGATGATCCTCGTGATCTGATTGGTAAGAATAGTAAGATTTTTTTTGGCGATTGTTAAGATTCCTGCTTTTAATTCCGATTTGTGTTTTCCAGGTTCAGGGTTAGGGTTAGGGACAAAAACGAAACATGCCTGTGGCTATATCTCTATGGAAAATAAATTGGAAAAAATTTAACGCGGGAATCTTAATGATCGCTTTTTTTTCACCACTTTGAAGTTGAAGACAAGCGGATAGCTAGAGAACGACAACTGAACGCCATTGGCCGATATTTATAGTAGCAGCCATTTTGTTTGACGTCATTGAGGAATTTCCACTTTGTCAGTCATGGTGGCAACTCGATCCCACGATGGCAGACTACCGACTGGGATTATCATTATTTTCTTTGCAACTTGCTCAACTCTTCGGTTCAGTTGTCTGTGATTGTGCAGCACCCTTCTTCCGCCCAGATTGATTCTAATGATATATATTATATACTAGGTAAACTGAGAAGAAGAAGAAGACTAAGATACTTAGGCCTACGTACGAAAGCAAGTTCAAATAAAGTTCAACAACACAGTGCAAATGATCAATCATTTGAATCCGGATCGTTTACTTTTAAAGTTTTGTAAGCACAAGAAATTTTAACACGTACAAGAGATTGGACTCAATAGGATGCTGAGCTGCAAATGGAGTAATATAATTCGAGACAGTAGTAAGGTTTGCAAATGGATACTATGAGCCGCAAAAGCAGTAATGCTAAGGGGAATCTCTAGGAAAGACTCATTTGAAGAGCGAAGCTTGGAAACTGCCAGTGCAAACCATGCGCTTTGCAAAATCATCACTATTTTTAGAATCACTATCAAATGACGCGGCGGGCATCCTCCTTGCAAGGTCAAACAAGATGGTTGTTATACTATAAATATCGGCCAGGCCAATGGCGTTAAGTTGTCGTTCTCTAGCTATTCGTTTGAAAGTTGAAGTCTGAATTCTGTTGAAGTAATGAAGTTGTGAACAGTTGGGCGCAGAGCTAAAACTCAATATCAAACAAATAAATGTTTTCAACACTTTCATAATTTGAGTAGGCCTAAATAGATTTTAAGACGAAAAAGTAGAGAAAATGCTGGCCCTCAAGAAAATCACGGGCAGTGCAATGGTTAAAATTTTAAAAAGTAACAAATCACCACTGTAATGGAATAAACTGTAGCTACCTGATTTTCTGCGCTCTGCTTTTTTTTTTAGTGATACCGTGTCTTCTTTTCAATTGATCCAACCATCCTGTTTTGCATCAATGTGACTGTCGCAGCATAAATAGCTCTGCCTCATTAATTTTTGGCTTTTGAGGAAGGGCTGAAGTAAGAATGACTTATTACGGAACTTACACTAACCATGAAGTGAAGTTTTGGCTGCAAGTCGTCCTGCAGGACTAAGGGTGGTGAACGTTGTGATACCCTTGTTTAGACCTTTCTGAATAATTTACATTAAAATAGTATTTTGTAGAGTGAAATTGCCAAATTGTATCAGGACTTTGGTTGACTAGTATTTTTACGGCGCTTGCAACTGCATAAAAGGTTATATGGGCGCACGGAACACATTCATCATGTATATATAATTTTCAGTTTGGTTAGGTATTAACTTTGAATTTTGCCATGGTGCAGCTGAAGCGTACTCTATAAAAATGGATTTTAGGACCGCCAAGAGGTCTTTAATATTTTTCGCCCTCATCCGAGAAGGCTAGGTGTTAGATCTTACCTACCCTAAGTTCACAGTGGAATAGCTGAAAGACAGGCGTAAAAGCAGCCAAGAATAGCACAGGTAGAAAGGCTGCACTAAAATACATCACTGCACTCTTACGTAATCCCGGTTCACTTAGGGTGACGTAGAAAGTTGCGTGTGTAAGTTCTCAACTATATGGACACTGGGAGACTGGTGTTCGGGACTTCATTTTGGCGCCTATGCTGAGTTCGCTATCCAGCGAAGTTTTTACAGAGGGCAAAGAGTGGCTGCCATAATATTGTACGGCTTAGGAATGTATGTTATCATTCAAGTCAATACTTTGCTTAGAAGGTTAGCCGTTCATAAAGTGTGTGGAGTAATTTTTCTGCAAATTTTGCAGTGTGATAAGGATTTTTATATGTATGGTATTATGAAATACAATTATATTATAATTAACAATAAAAATGATTTTCATCTTGTTCGTAAACGGTTTTTTTTGGACGAAAGTCAAAAGTTGAGTTAATCTGTTAATGAGACTCAATGCCTGAGGATGACCACCAATTTATCCTGCAGGAGAGAATTGTTTTTTTTTTAAAAGTCAAAAGCAACCTTGGTACAGTAACCCTGACCCTCTGACTTTAACTTCTGTCACCTCACCTGATCCCACCCATGCTGTCATATATATTTATCTTTGGCCGGAAACTCAAGAGATCGAAATAGATGATTTTAGCTATAGAGTAAAACTGAATCAAGTACTATGAAATTCATGCAAAATTTCAACATCTGCAAGATTCCCCTATTTTGATAAATTATTGCTCGCACTAGGAAAATTAGTTTCGTCTTTTTGCCAAAATCATTTATTCCTTCAAATCAAAATATCAATAGGAAGTGAAAGAACTAGGTACTTCTGCGGTGTAACAAAGAAGAAAGATACAAAAAGCATTTTTACAACTCATACCATCTTAATCATCTTGTATTTCAATTACCTTTAATGCTTTATAATATATATATATTATATTTACATATATATATATATATATATATATATATGTATACATATATATATATAAGCCCTCTATCAGAATACCATTTTATCAGATCAAACTACTTACTATGTGCGAGTGACTATGTGTGCGTGCATGCATGCATGTGCGCGCGCATCTCAATCTCATGTCATATAAAAAAACCCTTCTGCTTTTTGCTAATTATTTTATGCTATAAAAAAATCGTAACCCCAGCTGACACCCTCAAATTAAACAGACTAAGGTACAGTTTGATAAATTTACTTGTGGGAGACAACATAGTAATAAGAACAACAATGTTCCGGTGCATTTCGAAAATATTACAACTAGTAACAATACAGGATTCACTTAAAGATCAAGAAATAAAATAATATATAAATGTGTGCATTTTCCATCTCGTTGAAACATTTTTTTTCTATTGCAGGGCTCAAAATATGTGGAATGGATTGTCTGCTATCAGCAGAATGGAAATCCTCAAGTAAAATTATAGCTCGGACAGGACCTGGCAAAGGGAAAGGAGATATAATTCCGGTGACTCGAAATGGTGGCAAGGGAAGCTGCACTGTTGGATTCCGGGGATATTTCCTGCAAATAGGTGAGAAGAGAATCTGTTTTTGTCGAACCTTTTATTGATGAATTATCAGCTTGTAGTTCTGTTCAAGGGAATTCCTTGACTGTTGAGTTTATTTGAAAATCATTGAGTGCTGGAGGAGCTGAGGTTTTCTTAATGTATGTCGTATAAAAAGGCTTATTTTCAGAAATGATTTTTAAAGATTTAAATTTAACTGTTTGTTTCATAGTTATGTAACATCAAAAGTTGATGTTTACTCCCTTTGTGTTTTGCAAAGAACTAGAAAAAGAAAATAGGTAAGGTACCTGATAAGAATATTATTAACAAACAAAATTTTCTTCTAAGATAACTAATACTTTGTCGCTGCTGATGCAGAACTAGCCGAAGGGACCCCGGCAGGAGATAATTTTTAAGCTCTTGTCAAACTTGATCAAAGTGAGATCAGGATTTCTTGTATTGAAAGGACTTTTTACTTTTTTGCTTTGCAAGCAACAAAGAAACATAATCTCCTTATAGTGTAAACTGTAAAAAGAAACTTATAATTTGATTATATAACTCCTGTTTCTTTGGTTTTGAATATGTGTGTATGTAATTGATTAAATGCTATGCCTGTTGGCAGTGTATCTTCTAAGCAGAAAATTTGTTTACATCACTGCGGCACATCTCAGCTTTTGACTCAACACACATTTTCATTTGAAGTACACTGAAGTAGAAAAACTTTTGTTCTTTATTCAGTTAATCATGTTGGATATATCCGCGTCATGTGATTTAAATTCTAAAAGTTTCTTGTAGAGAAAAAGAATATTTTGCTGAGATTTCCATGTTTATGTCTCAGGTCCCCTACAAGAGTCTGCGATCTGGATTGATGAGTCTCAAACGGTGAGACCAAATTTGGACCATGGTCGTCCTTCAGCAGCAATTGCTGCAAAGGAAGAAGAAGATCCTTTAGCCATCTTGGATGAGAGCGACAAGTGAGTTTATAGCTTTGTTTCTATTATATGTTGATAAATTCTTTCTGTTTTGTCTCTTAAAAAGATCACTTTAGTCTAAGAAGTACTGTGATCTCTGCTAAGGTCACTCTTTCTACTTCAGGGAGTTATTATTGGTAATGGGTTTTTCATGACACAGCAGGGAGTATTGATTGAGTCCCATTTGAAATTTCATTCTACTGCTTCTTGAATTGGAAATATGTCAAGTCAGTCCCAGTTTTTTCTTTTTCAATCCTTTAATTTCTTACATAGTTGCTTTATGTTGGTGGATTCTATAAATTTTATTTTACTAGTTGGTTCCTTGATGTGATTTAGTTCTATATATGAGTTATATGTGGACTATTTGACCTATTGTAAAATAAGGCTGTTTAAAATTGTTCCTACCATGAAGAGTTAAACAAAGGATTGAAAAAAGATAGGTGTAGACAATTAATTATGTTATTGTAAGCTTTTGTCCAGACTCTAGATGCAGTTAAAGAGTAAATTACTCCTCGACCAATGATTACTGCCACCAGGTCTACATCACTTTCTTCTCGATCTGAAGACTCCCAATCTGAAATCTTCATCACTGTCTGCTTCCATACAAATTGCGTGTAGCATCTTGAGTATAGTGAAATATCTTTTTAAACCCATTTTGTAGCTTCCGCACACTCAAAATTTCTAGAAATCAGAACCAAAATATCTAAATGGAACTAATGTTCATCAAATATGGATTTGTTTAGAGAAACTTCAATTGGCTTTTGTTTAGATCTAAGTCATTTTGCTCGGTGAGTATACTCATCCCCGGTCCCAGGGAAGCAATATGGCTTTGCGAGTATTCTTCACCGCAATCCGAAAGGTGTTAAAGGGTGAACATAAGGTTTCCTTCTTATGATATGCAAATTTTGTCTTGGTAATATAATATAAAAATATGCAATTACATTATGGGAAAAAATCTATCTTTCCCTCTCTCACCCTCACCCACACTGGATTCCCTCTTTTCTTATATATGAAAACTTGCCTAAAGACTCTTTTATTTTCTTTATCATTTGTAAGTCCATTTTGGACATTTTGCATGTATTATCATCATCATCACGCAGTGCCAGATCTGAAACAGACATCTGGGATCATGGTTCTCAGTGGCGAGGAGACTTGAACAGTGTCTGCTTGACATGTTTTTTACCATTTCAGTACAGCCACAGAAATTTCCACTCTGAGACAATAAATTATGGTCTTATCTTATCTGTCTTATTTTGTCTTATCTTGTCTTGAATTGTCTATAAATCCTATCATCTCTTTTATTTTATCTTATTTTACTTTAAAAAATCCCACATTATCCTAGTTACCCCGTCACCCATTTGTTCAAGTTTTTCAAATAAGTATCTCTGGGTCTGCCCCTACATGTAATAATTATACTGATTCTTTTTTTGTGTGGTTTTTTTTTACTCCTTTTTTCAGGCCTAAGTTGACAGAGGAAGAGCTTCTTGAGATGTTTCCAGAAGGTGAGTGGTGTAAAGCTTGATATTGAAGGCCATATCTGTACACTTTTAGCTAGCTCATATTTTAAGATATACAGCTATAAATAGATGACAGGAAGGCTTGGTTTGTGAAGGACTTCCTAAAGTCATTTTCATGTTTTCCAGATTGCTGTTGGTGTTGAACTGTTCATCCACTGAACCTCCATTAGACCCTAAATATGAATCTTAATTCAAGAAATTGTTGCAAATTTCAGCTGCGTTCTTTCCTGATCTTTCCTTCAATGAATTTTTTCGTTTCTTTTTATCAGCGTCAGGAAACATGTCTCTTGAGAACTTCTCTCCAGGCTGGTACCTGCTTGAGCATCATCAAAATGGCAGGTACGGTATTCAGGAATTAGTATTACTCTAGTTTTAAAGTAATGTCATGGAGAAGACAGAAGACAGAGGAGAAGAGGGAGAAAGTGAGGCTGAATCATCTGTGGTAGAAAGTAGTTTGATTATACCGAATAACTAGATACTATGTTTGAAATATAAGTCTAATGTGATAATACGTAAGTTGTTACTTAAATCTCTAACACACGGCAGGTACTCACTTATGAAATGTGGATTATCATTCCAATGTGCAAATTAACCTGTAAAACCCTAAATGCTTAGATGTATGAAAAAATGAGGTTATGATTGTTCTTAGAGTGAATAAAAAATGTTCAATAAGTATTTAGTGGTTGTTTTCTTGTTTCAGTTTTGATGACTTGAAAGCAGGCCTAAATTTCATGAAAAGAAAAGCCAGTCAACGCTCAGAGGGGCCCATTACCATTGTCCGCTCCAATCTGACAGCCATTTTGGATTGCCTGGACAGTCTTTCTGGTATTTTTTTTTTTAGCTTTTTGTGCTTTCTCATGAGGGATGTCATATAGATCTATATATTATATATCAGTTGTCCTTTGCTCACCAATTTGTTGTTGACCTTACTTTTTATGTCCTGTTAATGGCAGGGCCTATGAGGTGTGTTTATGTAATTTTTTAATAGTTTTCTTTATTGCACAATTTCTTATTTGCTTCCAAAAGTTGTATTTTTCTCCTGTGAATTGATTAATGTGATGGTTTTTGTTGGTTAATGTTTGTGTTTGGTGTGGTTGTTCATGCATACATAGGCCTACTTGGGTGTTGGTGTGTGTTTGTGAGTTGGTGTTTTGCCTATATTCGTATTTATGTTTATTAGTCTGGAAATGTGCACATGGTGAGTGAACGTAGCAGCAGTTAATTATGAGAGAGAACATAGTTGTTTACATTTATTCAGGCAGAGATGAATAGTTTCATAAATATTGAGGATTTGATTTTTGGACACTCCTCCTATAAAAGTATGCCATGTAATTTTGTACTGTTGTTATTGTTGTCATTGTTTCTTAATTGTTTTTTTTTTCTATTAAAAGGAATGTATGAAAAGTACAAGGAAGATGACATTCGAGGAAACTGCATGAATTCTTATGCTGTTTTACTTATGCGTAAGTATTATCAGAGTATAATTTTAGTGAAGTATGTTATGCTGAAATGCTACTGTGAATCACGTCTCAGTGATAGAAACATTTTTGTCAAGTAAATTTTCGATGGAGCTTCTGACTATGAAGCACATTGAGCTGTTGCAGTTGTTTTATTGATATTACTTAAATTATATACTTATATTGATAGCAGAGAGTCAGTAGGGACTGACGTTTTGGCTAAAGTGGCCATAAATAGCAACCTTGAGGCATTAAAATAAGGATTCCATCTTGTAAATATCAAACCAGTCCACACTGTAGGTTTTCCATAATCAAAATTCCCTTTCTGATGATGTCCAAGTTTTTCCCCACAATGTACCTTGTCTTAAACCTTTGAGCCCTTGCCAACAGTAGACCGGTGGTGCAGAAGACTGCCCATATGCCTAGCCACTGGTACACCGGTGAGTGAGACCTTATCCCCAAACCGGCCCGCTTGGGACAAAAAACCAGCCCGGAGACAGTGTTTACTACACAGGCTTTTTTATTGATTATTTTGAAGATCTTTCTGAAGTTGATGCTGGTAATAATGACAAGGACTACCCTGAGTGGGGATATGGAATCTGATTCTGACAATAATATGAATGAAGGTGTGAATCACTCAGAGGAGCTCAGGCAGAGGGGCATGGTAGCCCCAGGAGGTCAGGGCTCAAAGGTTTAAAAATAAATTTTTGTCAAAAACAAGGAATTTGGACTCAAGTCGCATTTAGCTTCCATCAATAAGTCACTTAGCAATTGTTACTCCTGAATATATACCACAGTGGAATCCACATTAACCAAAATCTGCAGGATCATTGGAGTTTCACTGGTAGAAAGACTGCTGAAATAAAAGAAAAATGATTAAATGATTTTTGTTTTTTCAGTTTACCTCTGTCTTTGGATTAACCTTTCGTTAAAGTAGACTTCACTCTATTTTTAAGCTCTCTATTTTGTTTCACTCCTGAACTTTCTGTTGAGAAACACAAGTGCTTGAAATGCAATCTCAATGAAGACAAGGTGATATAATCTTTATTTGTGTGTGTGCGTGTGTGCGCACGCTCCTGTGAAGAGTCACCCTTTATGGAAATCTGTGTGAAATTCTTGGAGGCGTGAGCAATGAGAGTTACTTTTGCAGTTTATGAGCCAGTGCACCCGAGAAGAATAACAGTGTTCTCTAAAATGTGGATTTTGGATTTTGTATAACGTTAATGTTTTATGACAATTGTCAGTGTTATTTTCCATAGCTTTTAGTACACCGAACATCGTTTCATGTGCATTTCTGACTCGGATGATAAAAATTTAATTCTGTAGAACTTGGATTTGGCATATTTATATCGCTATGTGAAAAGGTGGTAGACCATCATGTGAGGAATGCCATAGATAAGTTGATCTTTGTGTACATATTAATCTTATCTTAATTATATTGCAGAGGCGAAATCCTGTGCTGATGGACTGTTTCAAGAAGTTCTGGGCAGGAAAGACAAGGCAGACTCAACAAGAAATGCCCTCAGTGTTATCCAAAAGTTCAGATTTCTCTTTCATCTACCTTTGAATATCCAACGAAACATTCAAAAGGTTAATACATTAGCGTTGAATATTGTTACGGACATTTGCAGGCATTCTTTTGGATAGGCCTTTTTGTGCAGCCTGTAGTCTCATTTATTGTCATTGGAAATATATGTTTGAGATTTATCACCATGGGAAATTTTCTTTTACCGCATGTTTATAAAGATGTGTGCACTGAAGATAGAATCTATTATAAAGAGACCCACCATTGGCAATGCTGAATGCTTCTCCTTTTACATTCTCATAGTTTTTAAAATGCTTGTGGTATGTTGAAAATATTATGTACAATTTCCTTATTTTTTAATTGTTTAGAAAGGAATTGTGTGTGCACTAAAATCATAACCTTTTTTATTTTTTTTTCATGATATCCTTATAGTTGTAACTCTGTTCTTCTCTTTCAGGGAGATTACAACATGGTGATTAACGATTATGAAAAAGCAAAGTCACTGTTTGCAGACACAGAAATTCAAGTTTTCCGAAAAGGTAACTATTATTGCAAATTCTTCTTTTTTTTGTTTTATTTTATTTTTCCTTTTGGGGGGGGGGGGGGGGGGGTGATATGGAATATTAAAACTGATATCTTCATAAAGTGATATCTTTTTATTTTATCCAAGCACCACTCTTTTCTTTGGGCAAGGGAAAAAAAATGGTAGTTTAATGTGTAATTCAATCTAACCAGGTCATGGTATTTTGTTTTTCATTTCTAGATAAGACAGTAAATTAGATTAGTAATGACTGTTTTCTTTGTTTTAATTTCAGGAGTGAACGGAAACTAGTTCTCTGCTTCTCTTACTTATTTTAAGTACTGTCAAATCTGCTCTCATGGGCAGTTACTTGTACCAGAGGCCACATCTCACTTTTCATATTTTCTATGTTATAATGACACAGTCCAAGAAGTCTACCTGTTTAAGAAAATCACTTTTCTCCTTGACGTAGGGGGACTGTCTTGGATAAATTTCGACTGTATTTATATAGCTTCAGTTTAACTAAGTTAAGTAGAATTGATACTATTTAACAAACCTTATTATACTTTACTGCGTAGTTTTTCAAATATTTGATCCATTCACTTTTTACTTTTAAAGTTCTTTCAAGGCCCCGTGATTCAAAAGAAAAGTTATTATGTGTGCTCTAAATTAAACTTTCCGATCTCTTGATTTTTTTGTTTCATAGTTTACAAAGAGGTGGAGCGGAGGATTGCAAACTTCAGAGACATGTTGCACAAGAGACTCAGGGACCCTCATAACACCCTGGATGAACAGAAAAAACTCATCAGGTAAGATAAAACTGATAATGTAACGTAAATGCTTATTTGATTTACCCAGAAACCATTCATGGTTGGGCCCAATGTATTTGATAAAAATGTAGATTCAGTAAATTTGTGTTAAAGAATTTGTTGACAATAAAAAAGGTTGGTGTTTTCATCAGTAGTGGTAAAAGAAAGCCTTGGTAGAAATGGTAAAACTTATTTATTTCAACTTAAAATTGTCAATGGAATACCCGCAGTCAGTGTTATAAAACAGAGCTTTTTCTCCTGCAAAGTATCCAATAGCTCATGGTAAGTGTGGAGCAACATCACGCCTTGTATTCAGCAGAGGTTTGATCTTTGTTGATGTCAAGTCCCTCTTGCAGACGTCTTTGTATGCTAAAAGAGGTTTATCTTTTGTCCTCATTTGAGAAGGTCTTACGGTATTCTCCCATCTTCCTTCAGATGTAACGTTTTGATTTCTTTTTTCAGGTACTTGGTGAGCCTGGAGTATAAAGGGGACCCAGCTTGGGAATGTCTGGATAATCAGCAGAAATGGCTGATAGAGCTACTGGATGACTGCAAAGATGATCGCATTGAGGAAGGTAAGCTGCTCTTTCAGTTTGAGAATATATAATAGGGATAGTATGCTGTCGCTTAGAGAAGAATAAAGAGACAAAATAGAAGATGGGCACAGGACATAGAAACTTAACCTGGAACTGCATGGTCTTAGGCTGGCAGAATGGCAAGAGACAGAATGTTTTAATGTAGGTAGGTCTGAGAAGCAACATCCGACTACAGGAAAAGTTAAGAAGAAAAAGAAATATGCTCTATAAGGGTGTTGTGCACTCTGAAAATCCAAGATTGGTATGGAGGGGGTTTATGATTCCTCTTAACACTATTTGATCATGTTGGATGTGGGACTTCCCTAACTTAACGTTCATCTCTGATAAGACAGATAGAAGTAGGCAGAGTGTTTTGAAATCTCACAAGTCAACCCAAGTTCACGAATGCATCATTGGTGATTTCACTAAGGTCATCTGCTCCGTAGCCTAGCATGATTCCAACTGAGCCATGGCTATGAGTGCTAGATTCAAGATTGAGCTGATTTTTTTTTCTCTTTGGAGTCTTACAGGAGTTGATTAGTGCACAACAATAGTCAATATACTGTCTCATATTTTTTAAAAAAAATCTCATTGTTCTGTGTTGTTTAATACTTTTTAACTACATGTATGTACTTTTGAAATGTCAACAGAAAAGAACAGTCTTCAAGGAGAAAATCTGGCAGCGTCTCAAAACAGCTTACAATGGAAACCAATTGCACGTGTATCCAAGTCTCCAACCAAAGGAGGTATGAATTTTCCTTTAGTTTATAAAATACATATCTGCTAACCTTATGTTGAATATTTTTATCAATATGACATACAATATTGACTTTTATCTATCTGCATGGTAAGAAATCTTGGGCATTTTCCCCCGTTTCTTTGTTTTGCAAGTTAAATCCTTACGATGGAGTATGGGTTTAAAGGCTCTTTTAACTCTGTCACAACCTTCCATTTTGGCTCCCATTTTTGATAAAGCTGGTACGTTGTTGGATTTTGGAATGTTTGAAGTTATCTCTTCCAAGAAATATCCATCCTCTCTTAAACTTTGAGACCAAATATTCTATTTTTGAGGTGATCTAGGCATGCGTTGTGAAGCATAGTAGTCCTCAAAATAACAAAGATATAAGCAAGATAAATCCTGGTGGCACATTTCTCACTGGTGGTTTGTGTGGTATTTCAGGAATATCGAGAGAGTCTAGTTTCTCTTCTCTGTCTTCAAATGATCAACAAGGTAAGAAATTGAGTGGCACGCAACATATATACCGATAATGATGATAATAAATATTATATTGAATGTTTTATTATACAAAAGCATGATAAATACCTACTATATGTGTCGAATTTTATTTACAGTGGAATCGGCTTAAGCTGATATCTGTGGGACTGCCAGGTTGCCTTCTGTTTAGTTGGCTGTTTGGTTTAGAGAGGTTGCTTAGATAGGAAAAAAAAAAAATCAGGGTTTGATTTTTTTTATACCCCTGTTTTCAGGTTAACAGTCAACTGTCCTTGGTTTAAACGGACTCTACTGTACTTAAATATTTTTGGAAATCGGGTTTAAGGGAATGATTTGTTTAGCGTGTGAGCTGACACACATAATATGTTGTGATATGAAATGAAAATGTTGGATCTCAAATATTATCGTAAATAAATCGGGTAATTGTTTTTCTTGCTCACTGCTTATGTATGGAGGAAGAAAAAGAATTAACATCTTGTTTTCTTTCCGAAATTATTTGTTGTTAACAGATTTTTTTCCTTTTTTTCTGCAGCTTGGAAGTTTCGCACACCACAGAAAGTTCTGTTTGTGGAGGATCTCACGGAGCTCATGCTTCAGAACTTTCCAGACTTTTGGAAACTGGGACAAAGTTACTTCACGAGAGAAGTGGGTTTTTGGACTAAAATTATCAATGAAGTAACATTTAGATACTATTTAACCATTATATTCACATGGCCTATCGTAAAGATAGCTATCATCTTGGTGTGTTTTTAAAAAAAATGTTCTTACTGTCTAATAATACACTGTTGAGATATCAAAGTAAGATTAAAATTGCTTTTATTCAATACCAATACCAAGTGGGAATTATGATGAAATAAGTTTTTCCCTCGTTCCTGAACAGTTAAATGAAACAAGATAAAAAATAATCTGCTTGTCAGTTGATGAAGAATCTACAATTGTGGTATTTATTCATTATGACAGATATTAATGTGAAATGTTGTTAATATGATTGTTCTTTTTTTAAAGTTCTGTTTGCTTTCTCTGATATTTCAGAAGTCTGAGAAAGGGGTGAAAATAGATACAAGCAAGCATGGGAAGATGAAGGTGGATGATTGTTTTATTTCTTATTTATGTTTTGCAAAAATACACTGTTCTCTTTCATCATCATTGGCCATATCTAGTTCAAACTTTGAATGAAATGGAAATGTTATTGAAAATATTCCGATGAATAAGTCTTTGCATAAAATAAACAGATTTTTTTCTCTTTGTCATATTTCAGCAGGATTAATTAAATTTTGTATTTATGGTTTTGTTTGTTCATTATTTTGAATTGTTTATTCCTGGAAAGGGCAGATATTTGCTCAGTGGCTCCTTGAAGTGATGCTCTTATTGCTGTAAACCATAGTGAAAAAATTGCTACTGTGACAGATCTGTCTTGATTATTACTTATGGATAGTATGATAATTTTCCATGCCTCTGAGAGAATTTCAATGGTCTGCTACTTTTTATTATTTTTTTTTTGGGGGGGGGGGGGGGGGGGGGGTGAGGAGGGAGTTGAAGGAATTTCAGCCTCCTCAAGTAATGTACTGGAACATCTCTCAAGATTTATCTCTTTAATTGCTAATAACTTTTAATGCTTGATGTGGATGTTTTTTTCTCAGCAAATGATGACAGAAGTAATTAGCCTGTTTGCCAACTTTGTGCGAGCTGCTTTTCTACCGGAGTCTTTAGAGAATCTTCCTGAGGCAGAACGAGAAAAGTTTGGTAAATGGCCGACACCTAGCAAACAGGAGCATGTATCTGGGACGTGGCTTCCAGCTTGTGTGAGGAATATCAGGTCAGACTGATAGTTAAGTGTTATATGTTACTGATACTACTATACAACACTTTTAGCCGACCGTTAAATCCCCATTTTCCTTCATAGGGACATGCAGAATGTTACATGTGTACTGTTGTCATTGAGATGTTTTTATATGCATTCCATACCAAACACCCATTTGCAGATGGATGAATGTCTAAACCATGAACAGAACTTGCACTACCTTTTTATAAAAATCTCTTGCCTCACCTTGAGACTAAAATTTGAGACTGCAAATTGATAAAAAAAACTATGTGCTGCTGAGTACAAGCATTTGTTGCTTTTTAACAACTGTAGAACATTTTATTATCAACCTGGCCTGAGAAGTTTGACAAACAGATATGTATGACATTTAGGCGTTGTGCCGTCATCTTTCTGGGAAAAATTTCCTCTACTCCTGAAGTACTTAAGTTTGATAAGTTTTTTTACTTTAAGTTTTTTTTCAAATCCTAAAAAGTCACTGTTGTTTCTCTCCCTTATTTATATTGTGAAGACCTTTTGAAGTTTTGTTGAAATTCACTTCTGAACAATGTTGACAAAAGAAATAGAAATTAAATTTGACTGAGTGGAAAATACCATTTCTGTCTTCTTATTGTATGTTTGTGTTATACATGTTTTTTGTTTAGTTTTTGGATTTAATTCATCGTGTTGAACATATTTTGAATTAGATTGCTAGCAAAGTTCTTCTTTCCCCAGGAATTGTGCGAATTCATTATCAGCCTTGGATTCCCATGGAGATACTATGATAGTTCTGAATGAACTGGCTTTCGACATGAGGACAAATTGTATGTTTTCTCTTCTCAAGCAGGCCATTGCAGGTAACTATTATGTTGAAGCAAAGATAGTACATAACAAGATAGTCCACTCAGCCAAAAAAGTGTCCGCTGGAAGTCCGCTCTTTGCTTCAGATGGCGCAGCAGTCTGTTTTGAAGCTCTCTTTCGTTTTTCCAGAAGAAGAATAGGAATAGCACCTCCTTGCGTGCGCAGATCGACTGCTGTTCATCAGCAGTTTGGGTTCGTTCAGTGCGGAGTTTTAGTTTTTTAAAATTTTAATGACCTCTCGCCTTCCATTCTAAAGTCAAATTAAACGAAGAAAACAATAACCCTTTCCTCCGGAAGAGGTTTTTTGACAGCGTAACCATTTTAAAAAAGCGTTCTTCCAAAATTTATTTAAAAACTTGTTAGTTTCACTCACAGAATTCTGTGGTTTCACTTTGATTTTTTAACACAAGTAGGGTAACTGTTCGGCGCCACCGAATTTTGAGGACACTTTTTTAATTGGTTCAAAGAAAGGAGTGGCCCCTCTTGTTATGTAGACTCTTTGGTTGAAGTTGGGTCAGTTTATGGTAATCTCAGACAATGAAAACCTTTGCCAGGTGTAAGCAGCTTTCCAAGATTGTAATTTCAGTTCCCCTAGTTCAATATGATGGAGCTATCTGTTAAGCTCTCAATCGCTCACTTTCTGAGCAGAGTCGTGAAGTTTTTTGTTTCACCTATTAAATGCTCTGACTCAGTGTCTAGTCTTTTTACTGAAATGAATAATATTTTTATACATTATTTATCGAATTTCCTGCACTGAGGTACCCATAGTACAAAATTATTAAGGAATGGTAAGTTTCATTTACTGTGAAGAAAAATATCACTTTTTTTTCTTATATATTTAGCTTAAGAAAACTGCTTTCATACAAATTTCTCACTGCTAAAACCAGGTCTGGAAATGATTTTTCACCCCACTTGTGCTCAAAGACAGAGAAGCAAAAAGTGAGGATGTGATTGAGAACTGTGGATGAGAGCGCATTCCCATTTGCCACATTATGAATCTTAAACACAAAGTTTGATTTGTGTAGAAAATAACCCAAAAATAGTTTTGTTCAGAAAGAAATATTCACCTGTGTACATTTCTATTCCCAATTGAGTGAATGAAGTGTTGATAAAGTGCTGGTATCCAGTGGTCATGGTTTTCCAAATTGTAATTTAGGTTTTAGCTGAATTTTCACAATACTTGCATACTATAGTAGGCTTTTATAAAACTGGGACCCTTTTTATCACTATAGGTATAAAAAAGAGATATTGTGAATGACCCTTTCAGATGACATGTGACATTTTTTGCTAATATATCATTTCCAGATGTGAAATCTCTACACGCCAAAGAAACCTGGGTGGTAGAGACTGATGATGAGCTTGGCGGAACAACTCAACTGGTATGTCTTTTGTTTGATTGAGGTAGAAAGAAGTATGTGCTTTTGATGACAGTGTTTCTGTTGTGCCAAAAGTTAAAGTGTTTATTTATAATCATGTGGGCAAGAGGGAATGAGAAGTCTTGAGGAAAGTTTTGGCAACTTGGGCTGAAAGGGTTAAAATGTCAGTATCCTGTGAAAATGTTATAAAAAGGTTTCTTATTACCTTTGATGCTAAAGTTTTTCTGAGTTATTGGGGTATGGATGTTTTAAAAGAAAGTGAGTCCCTTATCTCTGTCTGATTGTTACACATCTGTTTTCTTTTCACAGCCGGCTCTGTTTGAGAATATTGTGAATGAGGCTATTCAACATCTTCATGAAGTGGTTGTCATGACCAGGCCTTCAGAGCCAGAGGTAACAGTTTCTCAATTTGAAAAATAATTTTCCAGTGCTAAAGTACTGCTTTAGGTTGGTTGCTGAATGTGCCATGCACTTATTTTTATGTCAGGATAATTCACCTCCTCCATTTTTACTGGATTTTTATGTGAGAGAAAAAAATACCTCCTTTTTCTGATGGCGAAGGAATTATATTTCCTTCCAATTTCTTTTCTTTTTTTTCTTAAAGCGAAGTAGATACATGTATTGTTCAAGGTACTACCAATCAGTACTGTATATTGCAAAGGTTTTTGGTTCACAATGCTGTGAGTGGGATTACATATTTATAGTCGTAAACTATTTGGAATTTTAGAGATATCCTTTTCTTTTCCAGGACTGACCTCTTATTCTTTTAGTTTGTTTTGCCTTTAGACTGACGCGTATTAGAATTGGTTGGACAATCTTATGATGTGTTGTTTCAGATCTTCAGCCAACGTCCCATTCAAAAGGAAGCGACCACGTTGTGTAGCCAGCTTTTGCAAGCCTTCTCCCATTGCATGGAGCAGCTGGTGTTTAGTCCACCATTGCACAAAACAGAGTCAAAGCAGTAAGCTTCTTTCTATTGTTATTGTTGTTGTTCGTATTGTCATTGTTGTTATCCATCTAGTAGTCTTGACAGGTGGTTTGAGGGTGTCGCTGGTAAGTCTTTCTTTTTTTACCCTCTGTTGTTTTTGTCTGTCTGTGGGTGGTTGATTGATGCTCTAGTTTAGGATGTTCCTTCTTTCTTCTTTCTTATCATACTTCTGTAGTCCTTATCTTTCCTCCTTCTTTTTTGTGTCTGTTACTCTCATGGAAAACATCTAATTTTACGCACTTATGATATGACAGCAAGTGCTGTAAAACTCCTACTAAATTAAAGATCTGTTCGTCACAAAGTAGTGTAAGGTTCAATTTTGAGACGTCTGCATACTTATTTTAAAAAATAATTTGTAATAATTCTTTCAGGGATTTCTTTTCCACCTGCTGACCTTTTTGGGTATCACAATTGACTTTAGGCATCTCCTATTCTATGTCTACTGAGGTGTGTGGGTAGTAAATAATTTTGAAGTTTACTAAACTGTTCATCCAGTAGCACTGGTCTTTATCTTTTTGTCCACAATCTAGTAATTTTGCTTTGTCACCTTTGGTTCCTGCTCATAGGCATTTCATTTCCAAATAGAATGACACCTTTGTACTTTTTTTTCTTTTTTTTTTAGGGGGGAGGGGGAGGGTTCTGTGTGTAAATGGAGGGAACTGTTGTTCATAGTTGTTACTATTTTCATATTGGTGTGTGTTGGTTTTTCTCTTTCGTCTTTCAACTGCTTTTTGAAAATTTGTCCTGTTGTTCACCTGTTTAGATTTTTTCCTCTTTCCTTTTCTTCCGTGTGACAGTAGTGTGAAAATTATCATCGGACAAGATATGGAACTTGACCAGATGGAAGATCCGATTCCTTCAATGGTATGGACTGTTTTCATTTCTATTTTTACATGCCTCTGTATGGGAATAGTCACTCGGGTTAAAGTGCACTTTAAAAAACCTCTCTGAAATTCCCAGCGCGCTTTCTTTAGTTTCTTTTTTTCAGTGATGGTGAGCCATATTTGCTATGGGAAGGACAGAAAAGATTTCTTGGTTCAACACATTGCTTTTCGAAGCTGGTATTCAAACAAAATTTACTCCAAATTGATAGAAAATCCGGGGTTGCTTTTGTGTGCATTCTTTTAAAGCATTGATAGCTTTGTGTAAGACTTATGCTTTGGTGGGTTGTTGGCGGGTGCTCTGGTGTGGTTTGCTCCTTCTTTCCTGTCAAACATCTATCATCCTTATCTCCCCTTCTTCTTTTTTATGTTTGTTACTCTCTTGTAACACCTCTAATCTTCTGACGCTCATATGACCTTATGCAGTTGCGAGCGCCGTAAAACCTCTACTAAAAAAACTAAAGTTATGCTTAGTAATTAACACTTACTTATACCTATTTCAGGACAAGCGTCTGATCATCATGCTGAGCAACTGCAATCATACACTGCACATTGTGGTGCCTCGCATCATTGAGAACCTCACGAAGCACGGTTATGTCGAGATGGAGAAAGCTTTGAAAGTAAGTAAAGGTTTTGACCTGATGACTTACTTCTGTTGCAACTACCAGCTTGTTTTTATTTCTGATGGGGAGAAATTGCTTCTATGATATAACGCTTTTAGCCCTGACAAATGAGCTTGTTTTACTGCATGTACAGCAATTCTAGGGGATGCAAGTGAAGAAAAATACATTCTGAATAGTTTTTACTGATTTTCCTGTGAATAAATCCTTGTTCAAACATTGTTTTGTGGGGTCTTCTTAGCAAAAAGTGTTCATTTAAAGGGGACACTCCAATAAAAATATAAATTTAAGAAAATGAAGCGGACTTTTCTCGACAGGCTGCCCAAGAAACCTACCAAGAGTTAGACCAGCGCCTCTTCTCCAGCTACATTGAGCAGAAGTCTGACCCAATCCTGGGTGCCATGGAGCCCAACATGTATCGCGGGGGTTTCAATTGGAAGACGTGGAAAAACCCTTCTGGTGTGCGGAACTATCTCAAGGAAATCATCATGAGTGTGATAGAGGTGCACGCTGAGGTGAGCTAGAAATACCGTGAGAAAAATAGTAGTTGTCTAGGACATTGCATCATCAGATGGGGGTCTTTGTTCTGTATTGGTCCTGAAATGGTTTTGTCTTCATTTTATGTCCTGTGTTGAATTGGTCTACCTTTTATTTCTAAAACAAAAAGGCAGTTATTTCCTGTAATGTATCAGTCTGTATTTCATGTCTAAAATGAAGTGCCGTTTTGTGCCCTGTGCATATGACTAATTCTGTATTTTGGCCAGTGCATTAAAAAAAATGCTGGTTGCAGCAGATTGAAGAAAATGAGTGCGTCTCCCATTGTGTTTGCGTATATGCTTTTGCTGTTACTTGTACGAGTTTGCCTTTGGACCTTTTACTAATAATTCATCTGAACAGCTCGCCAGTTGGTAGAGTGGGTGGTTGGCGGTTGCTCTGATGTGGTTTGCTCCTTCTTTCCTATCAAACATTTATCGTCCTGATTTCTCCTTCTTTTTTGTGTTTGTTACTCTCTTGTAACACATCTAATCTTCGGCACTTATATGACCTTATTGTGTTGCAAGTGCCGTAAAACTCTAGCAAAAACAAACAGCTCGCCAATGACACAGACTCCCAATGAGTCTTTTCAAATACTTTATAAAATGACTTATGCCATGCAGGTGTACAGTATTTCCCCCAAGTTTGTGCTGCGCGTCATGCGGAAGATTACAGAGTCTGTGTGTGAGGAGATGTGTCGACTGATCCAGTGTGTGCCCGACTTCAACGCCAGTGGAGCTATACAGGTGAGTGCTCTCCCGTTTTATCTATGTTTATTTTTATTTGAAGTTCATAGCTTGACTCAAATGAGAATAATCACGCAGATAGACAGTTCTTCGGATATACTGGTTGATACAGAATGATTTTAAAAGGATTTATTCAGTTAGGGAGAGAGATGTGAAGAGAGATCAATATGTTTTTCTTACCATAGTGTGCTTGCCTTTTTACAGCACACTTTATCATTAATGCAGCAACATCTGTACCTGCTTTTGTTTCGCCTTTTGCAATTGGGATAGATCCCATGAGCTAACTGTGCAAACAAACAATAAAAAGAACCCCTGCAACAAATTGCAACAACTTCTAAGCAATATCAGTGCAAAAACAACAACCATGATGCTTCATAACATGAACAGTTATAATGCCAACAAAACAAATCAACACCAACAGTAACCCAACAAGATAAAAAAAAGCTTGTAACTATCGCAAAAGCAGCAAGTGGTTTTTTGTACCCATTGGGAAAAATATGGAAAAAGAAGTAGTGGTACGTGGTGTAAAGTATGAGAAACCTGAACTTACTCATATTGGTCAATGTGTAACTGACTGGCCACTTTTTCTGCTGAGAACTTGTTCTTCTTTGCCTGAGGGTACCTGGTGCTCTTTGGCCTTAATTATTATTATTGTAAATGTTTTACTCTCAGATAACCACAGGTTTGATTGTTTAGAAAAAAGGCTGTTTTTGACCCTTCCTGTCGGGTGCCAACAACGGCCATGTTTGGATGTCACATCCTAGCAGAAAGATGAGAATACTCTGTAAAATATCTTCTAACGTTGGTATTAACCCTATCCGTACACCCTGGGGTCATTTAGTACTTCAGGAGTTGTGTTCTTCACATTTTAGATCTCTCTGAAACTTTCAGTATTTTTCGAAAAATCATTTTGACAGACTGCTATGCAAAGCGTACGGATTGGACTAACAAGTATATTTCCTCTTTGAAAGTGGTGGCACAGAATTCCCCTCGTCGTATGGATACGATAGTAAAACACGACGTACGGAAAGAGTTAAACACATGCTGTGTACATGCAATGCAAAGAGTGTAACAATTATCCCAGGAGTCGTCATCAGTGGGTGCAGCATGCAAGTCATACGCAAAAAATAGAGTTGTTTTGTTTAGACTAATTGTGTGCCTACTTTTTACATCGTTTATTTCTCATCCAGGCTCGCTTGGAGTTGGAGGCTCTCCGCACCACTGTTCGCATCTACAGCACGGACCACATAGAGTAAGCTTATAGTCAAAGACAGTAGTACTTCACTAGTTAGTTCTGCTGGTTTTTGTTTTTTCTGTTGTGATTATTTTGCCTTCTTTATGAAAAAAACCCAAACTGTTTCAGTGATTGGGTTGTGATTTATGACGTGTGTTTAAAAGAAAAAGGTATTTGCTTACCACTTTAAGTAATGGGATTCAGGTCAAAACTAAAGACAGTTTTTGAATGAGTGTTTTATGATATTGAGAGAGTAGTACAAAAGAATGATTAAGTAATGTTTTTTAAGCTTGATATCTTAAAAGAAAAAAATTAGCTGAACTACTTTTTCATATTCATATTTTCAACATCAGCCAAATTCATTAGCAGCTGTGCTTTGTCTCCTTATTAAAGGTAGCTCCTCTTTGTCGACTGCAGTCCTATAATGCACAACTGGCCAGGTCAAGCAGACCTATGCTTTTTAGTTTTAAAATGTGAAACAACTGTACTTTAAGGTTATGATCTGAATATAATTTTTCATTTTACCCACACATTCTGTAAAATAGTCTCAAATTGTTGGACTTATAGTCCAGAAGGGTAAAAAATTAAATACAAACAAAATCCTTTGACTTTATACCATTTGCTTATATTCCTTTCAGGTCATGTTTCAAAGAAGCCTTTGAATGCATTCCGGAGCTGTCTGATGAAGGAAAAAGGTATTTTACCTTAATACATTTTCCGTTATTTTTGTTGTTGTTTGTGAACAAGGAAGAAATGCAATGATCTAGATTATCTTCCAATCCACCGAATTAAATTCTAGAGTAGGAAAGGTAGATCTACTAATTGTGGAAGGGAAACGGTCCTGAATTAACGGTGTATTAGTAAAAGACACAACAGCATTTGAAAGCAGTTCAACCCTTTTGACAAAGGTTAAATGGATAGACATAGAAAGGTTACACTGAGCCTAAGTGTACACAGCCAAAGAGAAGGCCATTTCTTGTCCATCTTCACAGAGACTATGTGTATAGATACTGATGGTGCCTCCTTAAGTCCAGGGAATACCACCTGAACATCATGTGAAGATGTTTTCATCTGCCACAGAAGCATTTGAGTTGGTGGAAAATAAAACATTAGGGGGGGGGGGAATAAAGACATCTTGAAGTGAAAGGGAAGTGCTTCCCCCTTCCCATCATGGTGCTAAAAAACTGACATGTCTTATGACAGTGAAACCACCAGCTCTAAATGGAAAAAGGAGTGAAACAGAGCAGCAGAGCCTTCGAAAAGTGTAGAGGATAATTAAGATTTGCAGTCAGCAAATAGCTTTCAACAATATGAGGAGTGTAACTATTTTGTGGAGTGAATACAGGGGTCGAGTACATTTTTGTATGCTCAAATTGCAATTATATCAGCACTAACAAGGAATCCTATTCATATTGTAACCAATGACGGTGTGTTCACTGCCTCTCTTTGTTCGTTTCTCTTCTCAGGGTGGTTCGCAAACTGCTGGAGAATACTCAGTCCAGTATGAAAATTCAGTTGATGTGCTTCCATGATGATGCTTTGCCAGCTCCAGTCAAGTTGAACACCCATGCTGATTCCAGCTGCTAGTCTGTACATGAGATTGTGTGAATGGTATGCTTGCTGTTACAAGAGAAGAAATGCAACTTTGGGATTTGTGGGAGATTGGGGGGAGGGAATTGGAGAAACAGTAGATTGAAATGGATGAAGTGAATGGAAAGGGTGATGCAGTTTGCTGCCATGTCAAAAGCACCCTGATCTTTTTCTGAGGCTGTGAGCTTTTTACATGTTTGGTGGTAATTGTGCTATCTCACCAATGTTAGATGGCTTACATGTATGTTATCAACTATGCCATTGAATTAATTTTGGTTGCTTGCCAAGTGAAGGAGCATGAATTGAGTGAATGTCAGCTCTAGTAGCATTCCCCTTTTATCTGGATAAATTTGCTTTGATCTTTTGGATTTTTCTTTCTTGTCCGAGGAGTACAGGTTTTCCATGACTTAATGAAGAAAAGAAAAACGATAGTACAGTGAAAAGGTTAAGCCTGGTTTTGGAAAAAAATGAGACAAATTATATTAGGTAATGAAAATATGATTTAGAACGTTCATCTGACAACAGTGACTATACTTACCAATATTACCAATAATGTTTCTTTGTTGTGTAGACCTAGATCTACCCTGTCAGTGTATTAACACTTTTTTAACTCGAAAGATGGGTCTTATGACATGTGATTTATCCACTCTGAATTGAATGTGTTTCTGTTTTTGAAAGAGGACATACGTTCCTTCAAGGGAGTACTTTTTTGGTTCAGTGAGTTGAGAAGGCCTACAGTCAAAATTAACGCAACTCAAAAAAACCTTTGCAGGCAGATTTAGGTGTGATTTCTGTATCGAAATATAAATTGCTGTATTTCAAGATGTTCACTGCCAACACAGATCAAATTCTACACCGTTGCTGGTGTCAATTGTTAATTCATTAAATTAATGTGAATGTTCATGCTTGCTATTGCAGGAGGAAGGAAACATGTGGCTATGGGTATGAAGCTGTGTGCTTTTTTGTATTCTGTTCTTCAGTGTATTGTATCTATTGAATATTTAAACGTGAAAGGGAGTTGATTTCTCACTTTAAAATGTTCATACCACATTCATGTCACATGTGATAATACATTTTTGTGTACTTACGAACTCTGTTTCAAATTTAGGGATGTGAAGCTCTTTGGTTCACAATGTGCAATTGCTGAATATGTGCTGCTCACTCTTCAGCTCTAATACTTGTCATGTTAGTTGCTTTGCTTAGATTCCTGTTACCTACATAATGTATGAGGGTGGTTGGAGGGCGCCACTGGTAGGTTCTACTTCTTAACTTTCCCTCTTTTTCTCGTTTGTTTCTGTGTCTGGCTTACCTTTTCCGTGCACTTAATGACCATTATTGTGTCGATGTGCTTCTCTTTACTCAAACAAACAAACAATACCTTATGAACTCATAGTTTACCTTTCAGTCTAATATTCTATTGTTCAATGCTCCTATTGTATTCAGTTTCTGTCTTGAGAAGTGAATTTACGGAACCGTTATTTATTATATGTATTGCAAATTTCAGGTGTCTGACTGATACAGTAGAACATGACTTTAGCAGCATCCGCTGCGGCGGGACCTTATCGGACTCCACTTTTTTCCCCTATGTACTGAATTACTTATGTGCTTGGGTTTAGTGGGGCAAGGAAAGTCCCGCACTTGGATACAGCAGGAGAGATCAAGTGAGCTCTAGCTGGGGGGAGGGTATTGGGGGTGGGGGGCTGTAAGCGAGTTCGAAACAGGCAGTCAGTGGTGCGGCGTTGTGATTGGCCAGTCCAGTGATGAGTGAGGTGTGTCTGGTGGCCGAGAGAGATGGTGCGGAGAGACGCGTTACGTGAGCCACTCCAAAAGTGATGTTCCATAGACCTAAGACTAGGCTAGGCCTAAAAATAAAAGAAGAGGAGAGGGTGTAGTGTGTGATTCCTGATTAATTGAATTGTGATGGTTGATGCTCAGGCATATATGCACGCATCCACTTCACCAGTCCTGCAGTAGGCCTACTGGTACGATAGAATAGACAGCACTAGCAACAAAGCCGAGGAAAAGATGGCTTCCAACAAAGGCAAAAAGAAATGCTTCTCACTCAAATTAAAGGCCGAGATAATCAATGAAGTTGACAAGAAAAGGAAGATTAATCTTTTTGTTTACATGGAAGGGAGGTAATCATGTGGATTTTTCGAAATTTCTCAGTAATTCCCCTTCGCATCCTTTTGTTGGGACTTGCCGTCAGCAGGATTTTTCTTTTGGAACCACAAGTCCCGCTATAGCCATGTTCTAGTGTACAAGTGTTTATATATGTCTGTCACGATGGTTCTTGTGTTTGTTCACCCATACATGTGCAGGAACCGAATCTTTTAACCATTAATTTCTATATAGAGAACAAGAAAAATGAGGAAATGGGAGGGAACCTCAGCACTGCTTGAACATAGCACCACCCACATCGTGAAGCTTGGTCTGGCCTGCTTTTTATCTTCCCGGAAAATGAAGGGTCTTTCTGGTTCAGTGGAGTCCATGTTGAATAAAATGAATGTTTGCTTAAAATGAACTGTTGCTTTGGTCGTATTCTAAATATTTTCTGTCATCTACTTTCATCTCTCCCCCCTCC